TGCAGAAAACAGTTCGTTTTATTATCTTGTCCATGCTTTTGCCTAAGAAGCACGTCGACCTTATGAACCTGTATGCTACGGTCAAAGTGTAGGCAGCATTTTTGTAAAGGGACGTAATCTGCGTCAACTTCCAGTCAAAAACGTGAATTGCCATATCAAATGAAGACTGAAGACCACACACCAACATGTATACGGAAATTGCACTGAAAATCGCCGGAAACTGTGAACTTTAATCTTTTTTAGTACCTTCGATTCCTATCACATTAGATCCTTGGACAGGAGAATGCGTTCATTTTTCGAGCCGAAAAATCCTCTAAGGTTTGGAGAGAAAGATATATCCCTTCGTAGTGACCGACTGAATAAACTGCGAAATATTTGTCACATTCTCTCTGCTATCAGCCATTTTGACGTCCTCGAATGCATTTTAAATGAGCCTGCATTACTGGGTCTTGTGCGTCTTCGTGAGGTGCTGTGGGGTTTATGGAGGTTTTGCAATACTCGTCAAACCAAATGTCCTGCAAATTTCCGCAGGGAATTCATGGATCCATCTGGCAACTTTAACCAGCCAGTTTCGAGTCATGATCCTCCTGCACTACCATTTCTCCTTTCTTCCCGCCGTTTCCATGTCTGAGGTACGGGAGCAGGATGCATTACCTGATTCCAAAATCTATCGACAGTTTCCTCGAGCTTCATGACCACAATGGTCTTCGGTGCTATCGGTGCGAATATGTCCTCCGGACGACTTTAAACGAAATCGATCGATGCGAATCGTGACATGTGGCTTGATCCTTTAGGGCGTATTTTATGAAGTGGAAGTGTTAGCAGGCGTGTAATCAGACTAAAAACGAAAAATGAGAAACAAAAACAGGCGACAGAGGTCATATTTAAGAAACAAAGAACATGGCAACAGTGAATTCAAAGAGCAAAAGTCGCCAGAGTCAATGATAATTCTACCGATAGATAATGTAGGTGGAACATGCAGATTACTTCGTTCCAACTCTGTGTGTGAAGCTGCTGTGTCGCCGAAGCTAGAAAGAGGTAGGCAGCCGTACAGTTACACAGAGGACTATGGACGTAGTTCGGCGTTCAGCGCAATGGATTGTTTGCATCCGAGGTACATGGAAACTAGCCGTTCACTCAAATCGCGACGTGGCTCACGTCGACGATTCTATGCACCCTCTATGGACCGTTTTCCCTCAGCTCGTATTCTCAAATCTAATTTTAAATTGGCCCAGGAAATGCCCTTCTGGAGGCTCAATTCCAGCAAATTTCGGCGCATGATGAGTGCCCCAGAACCTAAGGAAATGGCAGATGAGAGGCTGCGCCTAGATCTACTTCACAACCTGCCATTTTCTCAATATGCATGGAAGAACGTCAGATATTTCTTCACTCAGCCGGACCCTGCGAAGTTGGCACGCAAGTGTTTAAAGCATGAACGTAAGATGCAAAAGCTTCAGGAGAAACTTAACCGCAAGGCTTTGACAGATGAGACCAAGCCCCCAGGGACTTCAGTCACGGAGAAGCAAAGTACAACACCGTCGCCCCCAGAGCTGGTGATTCCGCCTAAACATGCCAGTTCTGAAGGAGTTTCAAGACCGCCACCTGCTATCAAGGTGAAATACAATGATGATGTCTATCGGGAAGGTGGCCTAGAGGTCCTAGATGACCATCTGCTTCCGAAGCACAAAATAAAGCACAGAAAGAGCTCATCAGCGCAAAAGCCTAATAATGTTTCACCCAGACGCACAAACGACAGCCAGCTGACAGCGAGCAAAACGTCCCAGGAGGGAGATAAAACACTGTGCGATGTAAGCAGTCTGACTATAAGCAATCAGGCTTCCCCAAGTTCAAGGAATAGTGGATCCTCCAGGCGAAATAGTCCCAAAAAGATGTTACAGATGACCAATCAGCAAAGTATACCCTCTTCAAACAACGAACCGAAAGCGTCTCCTACTGAATTAGAGGTTGGAATAGCCAGACCAGTGCAGGAGTCCTCGGGTGACGCTGGCCAATCGAGTCCGGCTACAACAGAAGGGACTAAAGCGCCAGTTAAGAAATTAAAACAATCTGGAATAGTTTCAGAACGAGCTAACGCTCTCAATCGGCAGATTCGTCCTATTTCGTCCTGTAGGAGTTGTGAACGTCAAGCCTACACAGCGGAGAGCATTGAGGCACTTGGTCAGATTTTCCACAGCTCTTGCTTCAAGTGCGCACGATGCTCAGCCCTGCTTCAGCGCGGTAGCTGGAATCATGCCAACAACAAGTTCTACTGCAATCCCTGTCACAGACGTGTTTCCCTGCAAACGCTTCGACACTAGAAAGGGATGCCACGGAGGTTGAGCGTTTTTATTTGACCATGTCAGCAATTATGAGTCCAAACTTTTAGTTTCAACATGTCTTATTTCATATTAACATGTCTTTGTGAGTGGAAAAATCGAATATATTCAATGTTAAATGAAAAGTAGATCACTGCATAGACACACGCATACTTCTATACACTAACTGTCTCACTATTTAAATTGCTAAACTCTTGGGCTACTAAATGCGTCTAGAGAAAATTTGCCGGCTGGATATATTTTGACGCAAGAATGCATGATCCTTTTACTATTACCTAATTGTGCTCCTCTAAATAGGTTGCGTCAAGATGCGCTGAACCAGCACGGGCCGCCAGATCAGGGGATGGTAGGCGCTCCCACAAAAAACGCCGAACATGGGAGGCGTTG